AGAAGGATTAATTTCTTAATTTTAAAAGTAGCTTTAGAGTTCATGCTCTTGCATAATATTGGTCAAGACTCCACAGGGAAAACAAAATCCCTTTATTTACTATCGTTTTTAATCTATTTTCTTGAGAGACGGATCAGTGAATAAGTATTAAATTTTAGATTCTAACTAACTAATATTATCTTTAGTTAACAGATCGATATCAATAGATGAAAAATCAGCTGAAATAATTAAGAAGTCGCTCAATATCTTATCTGAGTCATTTGGTTTGATTGTGTTTCCATTAGATTCTTTCAAATTCTACTTGCTGAAAATAGATGGTCGGCTCAATCTTATTGTCTAATGATTATCTGTGATTAAACTAAGATTTTCATCAAATAGTGTATTTCTATTATAGAGATTATTTTTAATTTCAGGTGAATAATAATCTTTGCTTTTGCTATCACTTTCAAATACTAAGGGATCAGGTACTTCAAAATCTGCGATACTTTATTCCTTTTCAACTATTACCTACTGCTTCTTATGTTTTATTTCAATAAACTTCTTCTTAAAGATCTCATAAATAGCAAATGCATTTTCAATCTTTACCTTAGATTAAGAAAATTTAATCCCCATAACTCATAATCCACATTATTGCCAACTCCAAATAATTACTTATACTGCAATTATAGAACGAAATCAAACAAAGGTATTTGTGAATCATCATTGAATTTACTTGTAGATAATAGTCTAATGCAGAGCATGCTTAAGCAGAAATAAAATTTATTTATTAGAGAAGGCTTCTCGTTTAGTTTATACTCAATTACTGCCTCATCATTCTAACTTATAGTAATAGTAAATCTCTAATTAACATTAGAAATATGTAGTTCAAGTAATCTCTTCTCCAATGATTCGAAACACTAATTAGATGTAAAATTTATATTTCTTATAACAACTATTTGTCATTAAGAGCCTAAGCTAATATGTCTAGTCTGTGTAAAAGCCTAGATTCATTTCTGGGGATTTAGCGGATTGAGAAAGATAAACAAAAGCAGTCTAAAATTCATGATAGACTTCATAAACCTAGTAGGATGATTTTATATTTGAGGAAATATGCTTTGCATAAGAGCATTTTACTGCTAAATTGTTTCGTATCTCTAGGAAATTTTTGAATACAAATTTGTTCAGAATTTTCCAATGTTGCCATTCATTTTTATACCATCAGTTTTTTTGTATTAATCTACTCCTGACTGTCTCTGTCAATTTTGGTCTACTATGCCCTCTTATCATCTAGCAACTTTTAATAATGCTGTCTAAATCTGTCATAAATGCACTTCGCTTGTCTTATTTCTACTTTGTGCTCTAAAGATCAATGAATTCGTTCTTGACCTAATCTTTATCCTCCTTTTGCTTTATGATATCTTGCTTATCATAAAAATAGATGTTCATTCTTATCTTCTAGCAGGTAATAACAAATCATCTGGTTCAAATGCTCTTTTTATAAGTTCCTTAGCTATCTGATGCAGAGCTTACCAACAATATGCATCATCCCCTCAATTATAGGAAGTTCAATTTATAGTATCAATCTTAAAATTTAGATATTCTACTACTCAATTAGCTTATCTTAATACTTGAAATGTATTTTCTTGACCTCAATGTCCTCAACTCTTTTTTCTATTGCCTCATAAAGACTTATTATATTTTTAATCTTGAAATCATAATAAAATATACTCTCTTCAGTAGAAATCTTTAAGAATCTCATATAGTTAATCAAAATTGTCTCTCCAAAGTTTTCGTTATCCTAGTTATCTGATCTTTCGATGAAGTTCATGGTGACTCTCAATTGTCCAAGTAACTCATGAATTTTCTCTATATTTCTTTACTCCTTGATATTCTAGTTAATATCATACGATATGGGCTCTTAAGATATCTATTTGATGGCATCAAGCTAAGAAAACATGTTACCAAGATTCACAAACTGGAAGTTAAGGTTCTAAGTCTACTCCTCCAAATCATTAATGTACTTGCCCTTAAAGAGTTTCTTAATGGTAGAACTTTTAATAATTTCAATGTTGAAATCCACTTGCATACCTTATCTATTCTTAAAACTGCAGACACTAGTAATATAATTTGTTCCTTCCTAAGATCAAGTAATTGTATTCTTGGGAATTTAATTGAATAGATATTATTTTCGTTGAAAAGCCTTTAAGCTTAAGCTAACACATTATTTTGCTTGATTGCTATGTATTTAAGTAATATAAAGAAGATGTGGCCTCGCCTGGTTAATTAATCTTATCCTTAGTCAAGCAGCATAAGATCAGCTTTGACTGATCATTGATTATGGGTACAACAACCTCTACTCCATTATCATTCTGGAAATCCTTAATAATAAGTCCAGCTAAGCAGTTCCAAGCATTCTTGAATTTCTAATAATACTTTTCAATTCTCTATAAATAGTCTTTGCTGCTTTTATTCTGACTGTAGTCTCTCTGTATCTGTATGGTTTCTATCAAAGACATCTCAGGTAAGTTAAATGATCCACTTATCAAAAATGTATCTAGCCCATTGAACCAAAGGCTTCAAATTTCTCTATTACTTCTTAGTAATTCTTTCTGTTCGAATATGATTCTAAAGAAATTTGAGTACTTTTTCTTATCATTTGAGTCATAAGAATCTTCAATAATGAGCTGTTCAAATTAACTAATACTGATGGTGTTTGTATTCCTTAGAAGGTAATAAATATGATTCGCAGAAATGTAATTGATTTCCTGCATATAATTCTGCAACTCAGTTCTGCAGCCAATCTGATTTTCAAAGAAATATGAAATATCATAGAATACATAGTCACATAGACTCATAAAGCTTGATTCAAGTTATTCTATTCCTTTAAGATCTTTCAAGAATTCAATATTAAAACACCATTCTGCTTTTTAACGATCACTAGAATGACATAGTGAATTAGCTATGCGACTTTCTCATCATTAATGAAATATGAATTTCTCACAAATTCCCAATCTTTCTTCAAATATTGCTAGAGATATTTAAGTGCTCTTTGTAGATAGGAATCATAAGATTACCCAGAGAAAAGGGAGTCAATCAATAATATTCCCATTATTTCATTATCATTTTAAGTAAATGCCAAGCTAAGCATGAGCATACTATACAAGATCATTCTTCCTACAGCTAAAATGCTACTTATTTAGATTTTTTACCTTGATATTTTCATAATTCACTAAGTCGAAGGGAATATATGAACGATTTCCAAGCTTACAAGTGTTTTTAACCAATTTATTCATATCCAGCTGATCATGATCTCTATCAATGGTTTCAAGTAAAAATATGATAGGAAAGTGCTTTAATTCACAAAAGCAGCATAACCAATCATCATCTATGTCAGCTTGAAGTGGAATTTTTCATTAGGCTTTTCATTTTTACATATAAATTTACATTTAGAAAGTTTCAAAAAGTCATGATCAACAAATTTCCAGATGAATTCTTTGAAGATTTAGTTTTAGAATAGTTTACCTCCTCCCTTTATCTGATCAAATTATTTTTAAGATACTTCAGCATCACTTCTGCTCAGATAGTAGTGATCAATAACTGCAATATCTGATAGAATCTGGAAGGAGCATCTTCTGGTTTATCAAATGAAGTAAGGTTGATAATACTATTTAGTTGTTCTTTAAATATCCTGGATTCTAGTTAATTTATGATGGAGAACTTAAAAATCTCTTAGTCTAATTATATGCAGGAAAATTCATGAAACCATTCATTCAGATGTAGAATTGATTCTCTATCTTTCTTCTCGAAATCTTACTTATTATAGATTTGTTTCATTACATATATTCCAAATAGCTTCAATCCTGCTCACTACATATCGTGTCACACAGGAAAAATCTCTAAAAGACATAAGCCAAATCCACAGCACTTGATTCCTCCCATCCGTGTAAAAAGAGATCTCCTCCACATATATCTTAGTTATTTTCTTGAAACATGCCACTGCCACATAGATATACAGAGTTGCCATTATTTATATTTTATAAATATCAGTCGTGCTTAGACCATTATATAGAGTCTTAGTCCTCAAAAGAATCTAGAATGATAGTATCTTCAATCATATCAACCAGCACCACTACAAATGAGTCGCTCAACCTAATGTATTCCCCATTTTATTGAGAGGCTAATTTGATAAAAAAGGCTTGGAGGATCAATATATTTTCTAGCTTATTATCTTTTAAGTTTTGCTCAATTTTCTCAATATCATAAAACAATATCTTCAAGAATATGCTTTATTCTGGATTTTCAATAATTTTGATAACCAACTTGACTATTTTATAGAGATTAAACTTAAAATTGTCGATCTTCTGGATATGATTAAGTTTACCATGGGAGTCTATCAGGAATATTATAACTTTATTAAGCAAGAATTTAAGATTAATGGATCCATTAACATGGAATGAGTCAATATTGTCTTATCATAAAACTTGATCAAACGAAGGAAGATAATGACTACAACATAAGTTTTGGTAAAGATTGGAAGCAATATACAGTAGACTTGCTAAACGGTAAAGGGCAGAGTGACATTGATATTTAAGATCTGATGAGCAAAGATCTAGACTCTCTCTTAAGTATTGTAGCAGCATAAAGTGAGTCAAAATAAGATGTAAATAGAGGTGCAGTGTCCACTCATAATAAAGGTTAGATATTTGAGCAGAGTTTGGTTCAAGCTATATCAAAGATCTACTATAAGAAAAATAGAAATATCATCTAGAAGAGAATATCTAGAAAACAAGAAATATTCTGGAGTGAAAATAACAATTCTTTCTTAAAGAAATTAATTCTAATTAAATTTAGCAAGAATGAAAAGTCTGAGCAGATGAAACATCCTGGAAAGATGATATAGTTACAAATGATTTTCTTATGAGAAGCAATTTGACTTTCCACTGTATATTATTGTAAAAATAAATTGCATCATAGTGCTGCTATTGAGTATTGTAAGAGAGAACTTGTAAGACATTTAGCTTTTATCATATTCTAAATGGAATAAGATGGCATAATTACTGCTTTTTGCAATCCATAACAATTTGAAATGGCGAAGGTGTACTTTTAAAACCTTTTTATGAATAACTATATCAACCATAAGTTTCAAGATATGTATTACTTAACAGAGA